CGCTTGCGCTTACCAGATACATAGAAGCTTCACAACGCTTTCCATGTCCAGCTACTGAAGCCCTACAAGGACCCCAACCAACAGTTCCAGGGACGGCAACTACCGCCACCACCACCTTTTCTCATACATGATGAACCCGAGTACGAGATCGAGCGCGTTCTCTCTCATTGGCGCCGCGGTGGCAAGACTCTCGAGTTCCTGATACGCTGGAAAGGATACGACCCCACTGAGGACAGTTGGGTTGCAGATGCTGATATGGGCGACGCACGCCGTGCTCTCAAGGACTATCTTGTCAAGCAGGGTGTATCTCACGCCACCCAGCTTTGAGGGGGGGACGTGTGAGAGTACGACGGCTTATGCCAGCTATGCTTGCTTGCCTCTACTTTATCATGCTATTTCTAGCATAGGATAATCATATGCATGCATGAATTGCTTGATTTCCTAAGCTATGTGCTTTTCTATATTTTATTATAGTTATAGCACCGAGCTAGGTTGCGTGCACCGAATTCTGGCTTTTCGGTTGCCACCGAATTGCCTTCTACCGAATTCGGTAAGGATCTGTTCGGGACGCTTCGCGACCCGCGGAACCTTCGCGTAACATCTGGTTACGGGGCCTTGTGTCGAGCCTATATATAGCCTCGTGTTGTACCCAGGTGGACATTTGGTTCAATTCAATTTGAATCAACTTTTCTGAGCTCGATCTCAGATCCTCACAGCGACTCGGACAACAGACGATCGCGCACCGGCTACATCTACCGCCTCGAGCCTATCGGACCTATCTCCTGGCAATCGAGCAATCAGGAACTAATTGCTCTCTCGTCAGCTGAAGCAGAATATATTGCACTCTGCTCAGCCACCAAGGAAGGGCTCTATCTTCGCGAGCTACTGGAAGAAGCGAAGTTAGTCGAGTTACCCAACTTTACCCTGTTCTGCAACAACCAGTCGGCAATTCGCATCGCCAACAAGAACGGTTTCGCGAACAGGACGAAACACATCGCCCTGCAATATTTCTTCGTGAAGGACGAGATCGAGAAGGGAAAGCTCGAGCTGTCATACTGCCCCACGTCTGAGATGGCAGCTGACTACTTGACCAAGAAGCTCGGAAAACAGAAGTTCGAATACTGCATGCTGCTGACTGGACAGAGCCACGTCAGCGACACTCCAGAAGCGAAAGGGGAGTGTTGGAAACAATCGGTCCTAAGCGCTTCTGTCGTGTCGAAACACTAAGACACAAGTGAAGCAACGCATATCGAGGCACCAGCGAGTCAACCCTCGGAGGTTGAAGTAACAGCTGGAGGTTACGCGAAGGTCAAAGGTCAGCGACCTTTGACTTGATAAATGCAGCGCCACAGCAAGGACACACAACTGACTCGACATTGAGCAGTTGCCCGAGTCGTCACTGTATCGAACCGCAACAGTAAAACAGTTTAATTATATCTCTTTGTATTCTTTGTACTCTTATATAAACCTTTGTACTTGCTTGTTTTAATCAACTTACTTTGCCCTCCAAACTAGCGCAAGGTGGTTCAAAACTCTTTATTAACGCTTCCGCCACTACACCAATTCTACCCAGAGTTCACCCCTGCAAAGATCCTAAGGGCCTTTTTCAGCCCAACAAAAAGGGCCTAACCTCGTAACGCGCAGGACTTGACGGAACACCGGCGCGCCCCAAACGAATGAAAGGATGTCTGCGGCTTATAGCCATCTGTGGCTGGCACTGGAGTAGAACCCCTGCAGAGCCAAGTCCGGCCCTTGAAGAATAACATACAGGTACTGTCCAAAGTTATGGAACTTACATTCTTCCACAAACAGTGTCCAAGCCTCTTGCATCCAAGTGTATACCGGTGGAACTCAGCTCACGAATGGCCTGCAGAGAGAGGAAGATAACACTCGAATGAGTGCAAGAAGCACTTACGAAACTCCGTGCAAGAAACACAACAGTAAGAGATGGCTCTACAAGGGGACTGCCTGAGAGCTCCCTGGTTGAACTCAGCTCACGAATGGCCTGCACAGAGAGGAAGAAAACACTTGACCAAGTGCAAGAAACACAAGGGTACCATAAGAGATGGCTCTGTGTGTGGGAATCTGAAACAGCAGATTGCTCTCGGTGAGAGATGCAGTGTGACGCGAGCTGACTTTAGAGTCGACTCGAATGACATTCTCACATGGTTGATGGGGATGGCGAACGCCACTCCTTCAGCATCCGACCGGATGGCTGTTGTGATGCCAATGACCTACAGCCACCAATCAGATCGTGCCATGTCAGCAGCAAGCTAGGCAAAGCATGACCTCATATGAGGTTCTGTTCACAAGGGGACTGCCAGATCTGCCCGGATTGATGGGGAGCCAGTCAGCACAAGGCATACAGGGAAGCAGCTCTACAGACCATTACACCCCTCACCGAGAGGAGGGCAGTGGGCACGCAGCACTTAGGGGAAGCTTGAGAGTGCAGCTCGCACCTCCACAAAACGTGTTTACAGAAGGACTGCCTGAGGTTTTTGAGGCGCCTCAAAAATCGCTTGAGATTGCAGCTCGCACCTCCACAAAACATGTTGTCAGAAGGACTGCCAGAGGTTTTTGAGGCGCCTAAAAAATCGCTTGAGAAAGCAGCTCACACCTCCACGATACATGTTTACGGAAGGACTGCCAGAGGTTTTTGAGGCGCCTCAAAAATCGCTTGAGAGTGCAGCTCGCACCTCCACAAAACATGTTGTCAGAAGGACTGCCAGAGGTTTTTGAGGCGCCTCAAAAATCGCTTGAGAGTGCAGCTCACACCTCCACGATACATGTTTACGGAAGGACTGCCAGAGGTTTTTGAGGCGCCTCAAAAATCTCTTGAGAGTGCAGCTCGCACCTCCACAAAACATGTTGTCAGAAGGACTGCCAGAGGTTTTTGAGGCGCCTCAAAAATCGCTTGAGAAAGCAGCTCACACCTCCACGATACATGTTTACGGAAGGACTGCCAGAGGTTTTTGAGGCGCCTCAAAAATCGCTTGAGAGTGCAGCTCGCACCTCCACAAAACATGTTGTCAGAAGGACTGCCAGAGGTTTTTGAGGCGCCTCAAAAAGCGCTTGAGAGTGCAGCTCACACCTCCACGATACATGTTTACGGAAGGACTGCCAGAGGTTTTTGAGGCGCCTCAAAAATCGCTTGAGAGTGCAGCTCGCACCTCCACAAAACATGTTGTCAGAAGGACTGCCAGAGGTTTTTGAGGCGCCTCAAAAATCGCTTGAGAGTGCAGCTCACACCTCCACGATACATGTTTACGGAAGGACTGCCAGAGGTTTTTGAGGCGCCTCAAAAATCGCTTGAGAGTGCAGCTCGCACCTCCACAAAACATGTTGTCAGAAGGACTGCCAGAGGTTTTTGAGGCGCCTAAAAAATCGCTTGAGAAAGCAGCTCACACCTCCACGATACATGTTTACGGAAGGACTGCCAGAGGTTTTTGAGGCGCCTCAAAAATCGCTTGAGAGTGCAGCTCGCACCTCCACAAAACATGTTGTCAGAAGGACTGCCAGAGGTTTTTGAGGCGCCTCAAAAATCGCTTGAGAGTGCAGCTCACACCTCCACGATACATGTTTACGGAAGGACTGCCAGAGGTTTTTGAGGCGCCTCAAAAATCGCTTGAGAGTGCAGCTCGCACCTCCACAAAACATGTTGTCAGAAGGACTGCCAGAGGTTTTTGAGGCGCCTCAAAAATCGCTTGAGAAAGCAGCTCACACCTCCACGATACATGTTTACGGAAGGACCGCCAGAGGTTTTTGAGGCGCCTCAAAAATCGCTTGAGAGTGCAGCTCGCACCTCCACAAAACATGTTGTCAGAAGGACTGCCAGAGGTTTTTGAGGCGCCTAAATAATCGCTTGAGAAAGCAGCTCACACCTCCACGGTACATGTTTACGGAAGGACTGCCAGAGGTTTTTGAGGCGCCTCAAAAATCGCTTGAGAGTGCAGCTCGCACCTCCACAAAACATGTTGTCAGAAGGACTGCCAGAGGTTTTTGAGGCGCCTCAAAAATCGCTTGAGAGTGCAGCTCACACCTCCACGATACATGTTTACGGAAGGACTGCCAGAGGTTTTTGAGGCGCCTCAAAAATCGCTTGAGAGTGCAGCTCGCACCTCCACAAAACATGTTGTCAGAAGGACTGCCAGAGGTTTTTGAGGCGCCTCAAAAATCGCTTGAGAGTGCAGCTCACACCTCCACGATACATGTTTACGGAAGGACTGCCTGAGGTTTTTGAGGCGTCTCAAAAATCGCTTGAGAGTGCAGCTCGCACCTCCACAAAACATGTTGTCAGAAGGACTGCCAGAGGTTTTTGAGGCGCCTCAAAAATCGCTTGAGAGTGCAGCTCACACCTCCACGATACATGTTTACGGAAGGACTGCCAGAGGTTTTTGAGGCGCCTCAAAAATCGCTTGAGAGTGCAGCTCGCACCTCCACAAAACATGTTGTCAGAAGGACTGCCAGAGGTTTTTGAGGCGCCTAAAAAATCGCTTGAGAAAGCAGCTCACACCTCCACGATACATGTTTACGGAAGGACTGCCAGAGGTTTTTGAGGCGCCTCAAAAATCGCTTGAGAGTGCAGCTCGCACCTCCACAAAACATGTTGTCAGAAGGACTGCCAGAGGTTTTTGAGGCGCCTCAAAAATCGCTTGAGAGTGCAGCTCGCACCTCCACAAAACATGTTGTCAGAAGGACTGCCAGAGGTTTTTGAGGCGCCTAAAAAATCGCTTGAGAAAGCAGCTCACACCTCCACGATACATGTTTACGGAAGGACTGCCTGAGGTTTTTGAGGCGTCTCAAAAATCGCTTGAGAGTGCAGCTCGCACCTCCACAAAACATGTTGTCAGAAGGACTGCCAGAGGTTTTTGAGGCGCCTCAAAAATCGCTTGAGAGTGCAGCTCACACCTCCACGATACATGTTTACGGAAGGACTGTCTGAGCTCTCCCAGTTGATGGGAGGCCAAGCAAGCAGCATGTGACATACAGGGAAAGCAGGCTTACACAGCACCACCCACATCAGCAGAGGATTGAGAGAGGAGCACCAACCCACCTCTCCAAACTCGTTCACGAAAGGACTGCCTGAGCTCTCCAGATTGATAGGATGTGGCAAGCGAGCAGCATGTGGCATACAGGGGAAGCAGCTTTACACAGCTGCACGCACCTCCCCAAACTCGTTCACAAGGGGACTGCCGGAGCTGCCTAGGTTGATGGGAGGCAAGCAAGCAGCATATGGCATCTAAAGAAAGCAGGTTGCGAGAGCTGCACGCACCTCTCCGAACTCGTTCACGAGGGGACTGCCTGAACTGCCCGGGTTGATGGCACAATCTGTTTGGAAGAAGTGGAGTGAGGAGTGCGGCACTCCCACCTGGTGGGAGGGGTGGGGGAAGGGGAGTGGGAGAGCGAGTGGGAGGGTGAACGGAGCAATGAAAGCTCCCCAGGTTGATGGCACAGTCGGTTTGGAAGTAGTGGAGTGTGGAGTGCGGCACTCCCACCTGGAGGGAGAGGAGAGGAAAGGGAAGAGGGGGAGAGGGGGAGAGGAAACACCAGGGGGTGGGAGAGAATGGGGGGAAGGAGTGAGTGGAATGAGGAAAATTCCCCACCATCACACTCACCTGCACTTCATGTGTCACATCCCATTCCCCACCCTCTCACCCTCACCTGAGCGGCTGCGCCGTGCATGCGTCACATTTCATTGCCCAGGCTGATGCTGCGCACCGTAAACCCATGTAGATCTGCTCTCTGCCACTCCCCCACTCCCCCATCAACCCCCACCTTCCCCCCATCAACCCCCTTCCTCACCTGAGCAGCAGTGCGGTGCAGGCTGCTGATCACGCCCAGGCTGATGCTGCCAGGCAGCCCCACAGGATTGCCCACCGAGATCACCCAATCAGCAAGCTCCACGTCATCACTATCACCAATGGGCGCACAGGGGAGCCACTCCTTGTCTTCTCTGCTGCCCTCTCCTCCCTCTCTTCCATCCCTCTCACCTGCTCTTTCCCCTCCATCCCTCTGAACTCCTCCCTCCCCTCCTGTCTCTTGCACCTCTGCTCTCACTTCCCCAAATATGCCTGCTACGGCAGGACTCCCATCCGCTTCTCTTGAACCCACTCCCCTGCAACAGTCCACAGGAATCGTTCCTCCAGTTGACCCAACCCTGTCTGCTGCAGTCTTGTCGTCCCCAATCGTTACCGCTACAGCTCCCCGCTCCTCTCCTGCCACAGTCGATGCTCCATTCGCTGCTGATACAGCCGGCTCGTCAATCCCTTGCAGGCCGGAAACCAAGACTGCTGATACAGTAGGCCCTCTGGTAAACAGCCTATGAGTCACCTACTGGGCAGCAGTGGGAGGAAAAGTAAACCAAGAAAAGGAATGCGTGAGTTGAAAGAAACATGTTGCTGCCTGCACAGAAAACTCCACCCCTCCCCCCCTTCTGGTCAACAGGCAGTGAGTCACAAACTGTGCAGCAGTGGTAGGAAAGGACAACTAAGAGAAGGAACGCATGAGTTGAGCCTCAAGGAACGCATGAGTTGAGCCTCAAGGAGCGCATGAGTTGAGCCTCAAGGAACGCATGAGTTGAGCCTCAAGGAGCGCATGAGTTGAGCCTCAAGGAACGCATGAGTTGAGCCTCAAGGAGCGCATGAGTTGAGCCTCAAGGAACGCATGAGTTGAGCCTCAAGGAGCGCATGAGTTGAGCCTCAAGGAACGCATGAGTTGAGCCTCAAGGAGCGCATGAGTTGAGCCTCAAGGAACGCATGAGTTGAGCCTCAAGGAACGCATGAGTTGAGCCTCAAGGAACGCATGAGTTGAGCCTCAAGGAACGCATGAGTTGAGCCTCAAGGAACGCATGAGTTGAGCCTCAAGGAACGCATGAGTTGAGCCTCAAGGAACGCATGAGTTGAGCCTCAAGGAACGCGTGAGAAGGAACGCGTGAGTTGAAAGAACGTGTTTGCTGCCTGCAGAGAAACCTTCCCGTTTCGGGTCAACAGGCTGTGAGTCACCCACTGGCCAACAGTAGATAGACACGATACAATACAACATGCAACAACTTTTAAGGGGGAAGTATGAGAGCCTCTTAAAGAGGGAACCTCTCTGATTAGTCATGCTAGAGAAGAGAGTAGGTGGTCATGAAATTTCCCCCTTTTAAGTGAAGCACTGATGAACTGGTTGAAGCGGGAGCATCAACTCAAGCGGGCCTCTCGAGCAGTCATCATGATGTGGTGGAGAAATAAGGTGACTTCTGAGTCGACTCAAAGTCAACTAGGTATCAATGTAGTGGAGTAATAAGAACCCTGAACCTGAACCTCTCGGCACAAAATACTGGCATTAACCTCTCCATGTGGCATATTCAGACAACAACCACAGGCAGACCCCCATGCGCTGATGTTGTTGCTGGCAGCAGATCCGTCAGTCAGAGCTAAGTAACCGCATACTAGGGTACAACAGACGAATGCAGTGAGAGAGTACCTTGAGCACTGCGAGGTCTGCAGAGGGATGCAGTGCGGTTGACTCTGTGGCAAAGCGACGACCGTCGGGGAGAAGCAGCTGACAGGATGGGGGGGAGAAATGGGAGGGATGGAGGGGATGGGAGGTACGGGAAGGGACGATGGATGGGAGGAAGATGAAAGGGATGGGAGGAAGATGAAAGGGATGGGAGGAAGATGAAAGGGATGGGAGGAAACGACGAGAAGGGAGGGAAGGCAGGTGAACTAGCTGCGACTGACACCCTCCTATTTGTGCAGACATACCTCGCACCCAACACTAGTGAGCAACAACACACATGCATCACCTGCCTTCCCTCCCTTCTCGTCGTTTCCTTACCATCCCTTTCATCTACCCTTAAGCAGTACATATGCAACTATGTGTGCAGACATACCTCGCACCCAACACTAAGTGAGCAACAACACACATGCATCTCCGTGCAAGAAGCATGCACAAAGCCATCACCCCAAGCCATGCCATGCACTGGGGTGTGTGGACCAGCATGTGCCTCAGCTCAGTCTTCTGTGACATGTATGTACATGTCACACATGTCACACATGTCACACATGTCACACATGTCACACATGTCACACATGTCACACATGTCACACATGTCACACATGTCACACATGTCACACATGTCACACATGTCACACATGTCACGCATGTCACGCATGTCACACATGTCACACATGTCACACATGTCACACATGTCACACATGTCACGCATGTCACACATGTCACACATGTCACACATCTCACACATGTCACACATGTCACACATGTCACACATGTCACACATGTCACGCATGTCACACATGTCACGCATGTCACACATGTCACGCATGTCACACATGTCACACATGTCACGCATGTCACACATGTCACAGAAGACTGAGCTGAGACATGAATGTCCATTTGAACCCAGTAGGGTGATCGATTCCTCTCCTCGCCGTACCATCAAGCTGCTGCACCATCAACCACATGTGGGGTTACCACTATGGTGCGTTGCAGAGCACCAGCCGCTGAGCACACCCAGCAAGTCCCCATGGCCGATGAGTTGCAAATGTCCCTCCCTTCGACCCATGTGTGGCAGAAATTCGAGGTGAATTTCGAGTCATGTCGAGTCACATGTGTGTGACTCAAAAGTCACATCCAGACAGACAGACATTCTCTCGTCCTCACCCCTACCGTCACTCTCGCTGCCCCATCCAGCACATGGGCATAGTTGCGGACTGGCGAGCGCCGATGTCTATAGTGCCTGTGATTCACATGCCGTGATATGCGCCGCACTCCCCCTACCATCACTTCTGCTGCACCCTCCACAACATGATTCCGCTTCCGCCCATGAGTGACATGATACAATCTGTGCAGCATGAGCACACCCCTTACCGTCACTCTCACTGCACTGTCCGTCTGCTCCATGAGCACCATTGACATCTGGCAAAACGTTCACTGCTTACGGGTGACATGATCAGTGGGACATAATCACTCCCCTTAACGTCACTCTCGCTGCACCATCAACCACGTGCGCGTTGATGAGAACCAGCCGTCGAGCACCAGCAAGCACGTCGCTATGGGCAATGTGTGACCACCGTTTAAAGCGGGACGGAGATCTGTTCCCATCCAGACGCATTCACGCTTCCTCATCCCTCTTACCGTCACTCTCGCTGCACCATCAACCACATGAGCATTGGTGAGCACCAGCCGTCGAGCACCAGCACATGCCCCTGGCTGCTGAGACATACGCCACATGTGGCATGTAATAGAGTGATTCCTACCTTCCTCTTACCGTCACTCTCGCTGCACCGTCCACCACGTGAGCATTGGTGAGCACCAGCCACTGAGCGCCAGCACGTTCCTATGAGCGATGTGTGACAGGCATGAGCACTCCCCTTACCGTCACTCTCGCTGCCCCGTCCACCACATGAGCATTGGTGAGCACCAGCCGCTGAGCACTGCTGACAATGAACCCGCTGCCGCTGGTGGGTGGCCAGTAAGGGCGGGGGGGGAGGAAGGGAAAGGGAAGGGCGGCATCAAGGCGTTCTTATAAGAGGTTATTACTATGTGGTATACACACCAGCCGTTGAACTCTGCTGACGATGAATTCACTGCCGCTGGTGGGTGGAAAAGGGGGACGGGGGGGAAGAAGGGAGGTAAGGACGGCTTTAGGAGCGGCTTGTATAGAAAGCATTCTTAAGTCGCTGAAACAGATTATTAAGCCGCTGAGTGCTGTTACCGACGAACCCGCTGCCGCGGGTGGGTGGAGAGGAAGGGACGAAGGGATGGAATGGGGGCGAGTGTATTTTGAGGCATCCACAGAAGTAAATTCACACTGGTTTTTTCACCAAGTGGTTCCTGCACCAGTTGCTGAGTGCTGCTGATGATAAAACTGCTGCCGCTGATGGGTGGGAAGGGAGAAAAGGGAGGACAGGGTGGGAGGGAGGGAAAGAGGGAAGTTGGACGGGGAGGGAGGGATGGAAGGAGGGAGGGAGGGATGTTGTGGGGCCATGAGGATGGTGCCAGGCGAGAGTGCATGGAACGTCAGACACAGCAGTGGCGAATGGCAGATAGAGCAACGTGGATGGCAACACAGCAGCAAGGCTCTCACACTAGTTTCTGTGAACGCCTCCGGTGCCTTGGTCTTCGCCTTTTCCCTGGCCTCCATCCTCGCCCTCTCCTTGAGTCTGCGCAGCCATGCCCCCACTCGACGCTTGTGCGTCTAATGGGCAATTGTGGCACTCACGAAAGACAAGAGTGGATTGAAAGAAGCAACAAAGCTCACACACTAGTTTCTGTGTATGTCTCGGGTGCCTTGGCCTTGGCCTCCAACCTCCCCCTCTCCTTGAGTCGGCGCAACCACGCCCCCACTCGAGGCTCGTGCGGCCATGAAGAGGATGCCAGGCGAGTGCTGCAGCCATCCGCTCTGTCAGTGCTTGCATTCGGATCGGATTTCGCCAGAAACATCACGTCGTCTGCGGGAGCATCAATAGAATGGGTTGGTTGCATTGCACGGTGGAACGGGATGGTGGAAGAAACGAGCGATGTGAAAAAGGTGTGAGATGGGGGAAGCAAGGAGAAAAGAAAAACGAGGGAGAGCGAACAGAAGGGCATGGGTCACAGTGTGCGGAAACAGGACATGGCATGTGTCTTGAGACGTCTCAAAACACGTGAAAAAAGGAGTGTTTTGAGACGTCTCAAAACACGTGAAAAAAGGAGTGTTTTGAGACGTCTCAAAACACGTGAAACAAGGAGTGTTTTGAGACGTCTCAAAACAGGACATGGCATGTGTCTACGATGTAAACATGCTCTCATAGCCATACTGCTGTAGTGCTGTATTGATATGATCCGAACCCACCTGTCTCCCTGAACGCATCCTCCTCCCCGCCATCCACACTGCCCCGCCCCTCTGCCTCCTCCTCCCCGCTGCCCTCCTCCCCCTTTCTCAAGGTTGCTTGCGGCGATGCCCGAGGAAGATGCCTGGAAGCAGGGTAGACACAGACAGGCGAGGAATGGGTGGGTATGAGGCGTCTCCAAAACTGGGATACATTCAGGGGGGTCCGCTTATCCCTAAGTATCAGTGGAGCATAACGTTCCTTGTAAGAAATCTTGCAAAACATTTTGCGGACAGAATATTCTGAACACAAAGGACACGGTCGCAAAGCCTACCTTTCCACCTCTAGCTGCACGACAGCTGGCACCACGCGATTGGCTGCGAGCCGAACGAACGCGTTGGCTTTAAGCCTCCTGCTCCGTTTGTTTGCTACGCCTCCCGCTTGTCTGGTTTGGGCTGGCCCTGAAGATGTAACTGTAACTGAAGATGTAGCTGCTATTGCTGGTGCTGCTCTCACTCCCAAGGCTGCAGCACCCATCAGGAGAAGACCATATAGCAGCAGCGCTCGCACTCCGCTGCTTAGGAGTTTTCTGACTTGGGAGAGAGCAGCAGCAGCAGTGCTGTTGCGAGGGGAAAGAGCCGCACCGGCTATTCCCCTGATAATGCCTCGAGTGGGCGAAACAAGCAGCGGCAGCAGTGGCAGCAGAGGCAGCATTGGAATCAGCAGCAGCAGAGGAAGCAGAGGAGGATCAGGCAAGGGGGAGACGAGTGTCCGAGGCTCGGCTGAAGGCTCGGACCATTCCTCTGTGGACCGGACGGAAGGGGGAAGCTCGGATATGGTTCGGCCGAGCCTCTTCTGTTGGAGAAACCGTGTGAAAGCGTGTGGACGGGTGAAGAGAAGGGCGGAAACAGGACCCCTAAGTTCCCTCTGTGCAGGCGAGAGCGGGGTGAGGAGCTGAGAGGAGTGAGGTGTGGTGGTGCGTGCGTGGTGTGTGCACAGGCGTGGGGTGAGGAGTATCAACACTCGTTGGCATGGAAATGGATTCTGGAACGGCTGAAAGGGGTAACGGAAGCAAGGGCGGGCGAGGAGATGGGAGAGGGAATGGGGACGCGGGGAGTGGAAGGAATTGAAAGGACAGGAAGGAATGGAGGGGATGGAAGAGCGATGGTTCGATCGTGCGACGGCTAGGCTGCGGAGACCAGTGATGTGAGGTGGGTTGCGAGGCGACTCCGCGTCAGGAGCAACCCGTTGAGTCTTGGACGCGTGGATTGCGCCGCCTGAACCGAATGCCCGGTGGGAAGCCATTCACGTTGCTCTGCGCTGCGCGCGCAAGCACGTCGGCGAAGCCTCTCAGAGTCGCGTCTAGAGCTAGATTCCACGAACGTGATCATAAGTTGCTCATGAGTTGACTCTGATCACCACGCGAGCGGCGGGCATCACTGCCACGATAAAACGCGTACTTCAAGTTGCGAGGCTAACACTGAACTGCCGCGGTAGGGTTAGCGCCGCAAGATGTTAATCGACCGTCCTACACGTTTCCTCGCTTGCAGATTCGCCAAAGCTCACTGATCAGGAATTTATCCGAGCCGCCCGTTTTTGCTCTAAGTGAAAGCCGTTTCTGTCTCACTATAAACTCTCGTTTCGATTGGGTACAAGAAATACTATTTCGAAGATTTCCGGTTACCTACAATGAACTGCTTTCGCTGTTTCCCTGGCGAAAGAGTTCTCGTAACAACGACGGAAGCTCTCAGTTCTAGGTAACCGTTGGCAAACTCTCGCGAATGTCAACTTGGCGAACACATCGCCAATGGAAACTGATGTCGCCGATCGCGACACAAACCAGGTTCTGTAGGTTGTCTCAGCCAAGAACAAATGAACGGCATTTTCTCTGCGCAGCAATAGCGCTCACTAACCTTTGCAACGTCACGACTAGAACCAGTCGTCTGAATAGCCAATCGTGACTAGAGAGCAGTGACTCGAAAACGGACATCGATCGCTTTACATCATTTCACGTTACGCCGAGAGCAGCTAGGTCGAATTTGTCTGCAGTAAGATCGATCCCATCTGGGTGACAGGTCGAGCTACATACAAGTCATTAGCGACTGATTCTAGGGCGGTGATAGAGGGAAAGTTACCGTTGCAAGCAAACCATTCCTGGGTCGTTGCAATGGCGTTCGAAGCGCCTCCCTTGTTCTCGTCGAAGTTCCTGAAAGCGAGGAAGACGAAAAACGCCGCAGCTAGATCGGGAAGCGGGGACGACGCGGCTGCGAATGCTGCAAAGCGCGCGAGCGTAACTGTAACGGGGACGGCCGACGAGGCCACGGATAAGAGAGCGAAATCGTTACGAGAGCGGTTACCGGCAGCAAGCCCCACCAGTGCTGTTGCGAAGGGTCATGGTGCAAAGAAGCGTAAAGCATTAGGGGTTGACGATACGAGTAAAGCTAAGGCTAGTCGCCCGGCAGATCCCTCGTTAGCCTCGCATAAGAAAGCCTTGAGTGTAAATTCGTTGACTGCGCGCAGGGTTCAGGGTGTCGGGTTTAAGGGGATGAGAAGAGGAAACGAGGAGGGAGATTTTGCGGAAGGCGGAGTTTTTCGGGGAGGCGAGGAGTCGCAGGTGTTTGCGGTGCTGACGTGGACAAGAGTGGCCGCACACATGGCGACGTCAGGGGTGGTGAGGAGGCAAGTGACGTCAGCAGAGATGGCGCGCAGGCGAGGGAGCCGATGGGGGAGAGGGGACGCGGGGGACGGCGGAAGCGGATGGGCGGGAGGGAGGGGAGGAAGGCGTTTGTTGATGGAGAGGCGGATGGGGAGAGGGAGGAGGGGGAGGAGGGAGGAGGAGAGGAAGAGGGGGAGGTGGAAGAAGAGGAGATGGATGATGGTAGTGAAGGGGACGAGGAGGAGGAAGAAGAGGGGAGGGAGGAGGATAAAGCAGAGGACGGAGGAACAGAGGAGGACGACGCAGCAGCAACTGCGCTCCTCGCCAAGGCTGACGTGTCCCTCTCTGCCACTGCCACGTGTGACTCCTTTGCTGACCTGGCACTGGCGCCATGGCTGGTTGCCACGTGTCACGAGATGGGTCTGCGCCATCCCACCCCAGTGCAGTGTGCGTGCATCCCCCCCGTCGTTGCGGGGAGCAACGTGATTGGTGTGGCTCAGACCGGCAGTGGGAAAACGGCTGCTTTCGCCCTGCCCATTCTGCAGGTGGGTTCTTCAGTCTAAACCCCGAGCCCTTTAAAAACCCTGAACCCACTGCAGTGTGCGTGCATTTTCCCCGTCATCGCCGGTAGCGACGTCATGGCCAGCGTGTTCGTCCTAGTCCTCACGCCCACCAGGGACTCGCACTGCAGATCGCCCACCACCAGTTCACGGTCCCTCTTCCCCTCCCCACCCTTTCTTCCCTCCTGCACCCCTCCACCTGCCCTCCACTCACCTGTGCAGAAACTAGCCGAGGATCCCTATGGGGTCTTCGCGCTCGTCCTCACGCCCACCAGGGAGCTGGCTCTGCAGATCGCCGACCAGTTCCGCGCTCTGGGGTCGTCGCTGTCTCTGCGCTGCGCTATTGCTATCGGCGGGGGTGACATGGTGGAGCAGGTGAGAATGAGGGCGCGGGTTTTGGGGGTTGAGTGTACGATGCGCCCTGGAGTTGTTAGTCGGTCTTCAAAAAAAAAAAATTTCAAGTCGACTCAAAAGGGGTGCTGTCGCGACTGGGGGGAAAGAGGGAGGTTGATTTAGGGGAGATGGATGAGAGCTGAGTAGGGCATGCATGGGGATTTGGTGCTTGGTTTTCTGGAGCGTTTTAGTTTTTGAGTCGTCTCCCTCTGCATTTCATGCCTGCTACTGGAGGGACTGTGGCCGACGTGCAAGCTACACATGGCATTACTGGTGCCCGTCAGCTGTAGCTGCATTCATCTGCAAATGCAGCTGCCCCCACTCGCCCACCCCTCTCCGCTGCCCCTCTACCCTCTCCCATCTCCCCACCTCTCCCCCTGCCTGCCTATTCAGGCTATGCAGCTAGCAAGTCGGCCGCATGTGGTGGTGGCAACGCCGGGGCGATTGAGGGAGATGCTGCAGCAGGAGGCGAGCATGGGGCGAATCTTCAGCAACCTGCAGGTGCGCGGGTGGGTGCGGTTTGCATGGGTCAGGGTCGGTTGGGTAGTTTATTCTACTGCTGGTGATGCTATTGCTCCCTTGTCGGTGCTCGCTTTCCCTCCCCCCTCCTCCTTCTCTTGACTGTCTGCTTTTCGCAGTTCTAAGTGTTGGACGAGGCCGATCGCCTGTTAGACCGCGGCTTAGAGGAGGAAACAACGGTGATTCTCCAGCCATATGATTGGGCGAGCAGCAGTCTAAAAGAAATCTTTTGCAAAGGATTAACAGTACGATCTGTTGTTGTTCCTGCTAAAAACAAGTTTCAAGAAGTCCGACTCAAAATTCCACGCCCTCATTCGTGTCTCATTCCCCACGCCCTCATTCGTGTCTCATTCCCCACGCCCTCATTCGTGTCTCATTCCCCACGCCCTCATTCGTGTCTCATTCCCCACGCCCTCATTCGTGTCTCATTCCCCACGCCCTCATTCGTGTCTCATTCCCCACGCCCTCATTCGTGTCTCATTCCCCACGCCCTCATTCGTGTCTCATTCCCCACGCCCTCATTCGTGTCTCATTCCCCACGCCCTCATTCGTGTCTCATTCCCCACGCCCTCATTCGTGTCTCATTCCCCACACCCTCATTTGTGTCTCATTCCCCACGCCCTCATTCGTGTCTCATTCCCCACGCCCTCATTCGTGTCTCATTCCCCACGCCCTCATTCGTGTCTCATTCCCCACGCCCTCATTGGTGTCTCATTCCCCACACCCTCATTTGTGTCTCATTCCCCACGCCCTCATTCGTGTCTCATTCCCCACGCCCTCATTCGTGTCTCATTCCCCACGCCCTCATTTGTGTCTCATTCCCCACGCCCTCATTCGTGTCTCATTCCCCACGTCCTCATTGGTGTCTCATTCCCCACGCCCTCATTCGTGTCTCATTCCCCACGCCCTCATTTGTGTCTCATTCCCCACGCCCTCATTCGTGTCTCATTCCCCACGCCCTCATTCGTGTCTCATTCCCCACGCCCTCATTCGTGTCTCATTCCCCACGCCCTCATTCGTGTCTCATTCCCCACGCCCTCATTCGTGTCTCATTCCCCACGCCCTCATTCGTGTCTCATTCCCCACGCCCTCATTCGTGTCTCATTCCCCACACCCTCATTTGTGTCTCATTCCCCACGCCCTCATTCGTGTCTCATTCCCCACGCCCTCATTTGTGTCTCATTCCCCACGCCCTCATTCGTGTCTCATTCCCCACACCCTCATTCGTGTCTCATTCCCCACGCCCTCATTCGTGTCTCATTCCCCACGCCCTCATTCGTGTCTCATTCCCCACGCCCTCATTCGTGTCTCATTCCCCACACCCTCATTTGTGTCTCATTCCCCACGCCCTCATTCGTGTCTCATTCCCCACGCCCTCATTCGTGTCTCATTCCCCACGCCCTCATTCGTGTCTCATTCCCCACGCCCTCATTGGTGTCTCATTCCCCACACCCTCATTTGTGTCTCATTCCCCACGCCCTCATTCGTGTCTCATTCCCCACGCCCTCATTCGTGTCTCATTCCCCACGCCCTCATTTGTGTCTCATTCCCCACGCCCTCATTCGTGTCTCATTCCCCACGTCCTCATTGGTGTCTCATTCCCCACGCCCTCATTCGTGTCTCATTCCCCACGCCCTCATTTGTGTCTCATTCCCCACGCCCTCATTCGTGTCTCATTCCCCACGCCCTCATTCGTGTCTCATTCCCCACGCCCTCATTCGTGTCTCATTCCCCACGCCCTCATTCGTGTCTCATTCCCCACGCCCTCATTCGTGTCTCATTCCCCACGCCCTCATTCGTGTCTCATTCCCCACGCCCTCATTCGTGTCTCATTCCCCACACCCTCATTTGTGTCTCATTCCCCACGCCCTCATTCGTGTCTCATTCCCCACGCCCTCATTTGTGTCTCATTCCCCACGCCCTCATTCGTGTCTCATTCCCCACACCCTCATTCGTGTCTCATTCCCCACGCCCTCATTTGTGTCTCATTCCCCACGCCCTCATTCGTGTCTCATTCCCCACGCCCTCATTGGTGTCTCATTCCCCACGCCCTCATTCGTGTCTCATTCCCCACGCCCTCATTCGTGTCTCATTCCCCACGCCCTCATTCGTGTCTCATTCCCCACGCCCTCATTTGTGTCTCATTCCCCACGCCCTCATTCGTGTCTCATTCCCCACGTCCTCATTGGTGTCTCATTCCCCACGCCCTCATTCGTGTCTCATTCCCCACGCCCTCATTTGTGTCTCATTCCCCACGCCCTCATTGGTGTCTCATTCCCCACGCCCTCATTCGTGTCTCATTCCCCACGCCCTCATTTGTGTCTCATTCCCCACGCCCTCATTCGTGTCTCATTCCCCACGCCCTCCCCCTCATTGGTGTCTCATTCCCCACGCCCTTATTCGTGTCTCATTCCCCACGCCCTCATTCGTGTCTCATTCCCCACGCCCTCATTCGTGTCTCATTCCCCACGCCCTCCCCCTCATTGGTGTCTCATTCCCCACGCCCTCATTCGTGTCTCATTCCCCACGCCCTCCCCCTCATTGGTGTCTCATTCCCCACGCCCTCATTCGTGTCTCATTCCCCACGCCCTCATTCGTGTCTCATTCCCCACGCCCTCATTCGTGTCTCATTCCCCACGCCCTCATTCGTGTCTCATTCCCCACGCACTCATTCGTGTCTCATTCCCCACGCCCTCATTCGTGTCTCATTCCCCACGCCCTCCCCCTCATTGGTGTCTCATTCCCCACGCCCTCATTCGTGTCTCATTCCCCACGCCCTCATTCGTGTCTCATTCCCCACGCCCTCATTTGTGTCTCATTCCCCACGCCCTCATTCGTGTCTCATTCCCCACGTCCTCATTGGTGTCTCATTCCCCACGCCCTCATTCGTGTCTCATTCCCCACGCCCTCATTTGTGTCTCATTCCCCACGCCCTCATTGGTGTCTCATTCCCCACGCCCTCATTCATGTCTCATTCCCCACGCCCTCATTTGTGTCTCATTCCCCACGCCCTCATTTGTGTCTCATTCCCCACGCCCTCATTGGTGTCTCATTCCCCACGTCCTCATTGGTGTCTCATTCCCCACGCCCTCATTCGTGTCTCATTCCCCACGCCCTCATTTGTGTCTCATTCCCCACGCCCTCATTGGTGTCTCATTCCCCACACCCTCATTCGTGTCTCATTCCCCACGCCCTCATTTGTGTCTCATTCCCCACGCCCTCATTCGTGTCTCATTCCCCACGCCCTCATTGGTGTCTCATTCCCCACGCCCTCATTGGTGTCTCATTCCCCACGCCCTCATTCGTGTCTCATTCCCCACGCCCTCATTCGTGTCTCATTCCCCACGCCCTCATTTGTGTCTCATTCCCCACGCCCTCATTCGTGTCTCATTCCCCACGTCCTCATTGGTGTCTCATTCCCCACGCCCTCATTCGTGTCTCATTCCCCACGCCCTCATTTGTGTCTCATTCCCCACGCCCTCATTGGTGTCTCATTCCCCACGCCCTCATTCGTGTCTCATTCCCCACGCCCTCATTTGTGTCTCATTCCCCACGCCCTCATTCGTGTCTCATTCCCCACGCCCTCCCCCTCATTGGTGTCTCATTCCCCACGCCCTTATTCGTGTCTCATTCCCCACGCCCTCATTCGTGTCTCATTCCCCACGCCCTCATTCGTGTCTCATTCCCCACGCCCTCCCCCTCATTGGTGTCTCATTCCCCACGCCCTCATTCGTGTCTCATTCCCCACGCCCTCATTCGTGTCTCATTCCCCACGCCCTCATTCGTGTCTCATTCCCCACGCCCTCATTCGTGTCTCATTCCCCACGCCCTCATTCGTGTCTCATTCCCCACGCCCTCATTCGTGTCTCATTCCCCACGCCCTCCCCCTCATTGGTGTCTCATTCCCCACGCCCTCATTCGTGTCTCATTCCCCACGCCCTCATTCGTGTCTCATTCCCCAAGCCCTCATTTGTGTCTCATTCCCCACGCCCTCATTCGTGTCTCATTCCCCACGTCCTCATTGGTGTCTCATTCCCCACGCCCTCATTCGTGTCTCATTCCCCACGCCCTCATTTGTGTCTCATTCCCCACGCCCTCATTGGTGTCTCATTCCCCACGCCCTCATTCGTGTCTCATTCCCCACGCCCTCATTTGTGTCTCATTCCCCACGCCCTCATTTGTGTCTCATTCCCCACGCCCTCATTGGTGTCTCATTCCCCACGCCCTCATTCGTGTCTCATTCCCCACGCCCTCATTTGTGTCTCATTCCCCACGCCCTCATTCGTGTCTCATTCCCCACGCCCTCCCCCTCATTGGTGTCTCATTCCCCACGCCCTTATTCGTGTCTCATTCCCCACGCCCTCATTCGTGTCTCATTCCCCACGCCCTCATTCGTGTCTCATTCCCCACGCCCTCCCCCTCATTGGTGTCTCATTCCCCACGCCCTCATTCGTGTCTCATTCCCCACGCCCTCCCCCTCATTGGTGTCTCATTCCCCACGCCCTCATTCGTGTCTCATTCCCCACGCCCTCATTCGTGTCTCATTCCCCACGCCCTCATTCGTGTCTCATTCCCCACGCCCTCATTCGTGTCTCATTCCCCACGCCCTCATTCGTGTCTCATTCCCCACGCCCTCATTCGTGTCTCATTCCCCACGCCCTCATTTGTGTCTCATTCCCCACGCCCTCATTCGTGTCTCATTCCCCACGCCCTCATTGGTGTCTCATTCCCCACGCCCTCATTTGTGTCTCATTCCCCACGCCCTCATTCATGTCTCATTCCCCACGCCCTCATTGGTGTCTCATTCCCCACGCCCTCATTCGTGTCTCATTCCCCACGCCCTCATTTGTGTCTCATTCCCCACGCCCTCATTCGTGTCTCATTCCCCACGCCCTCATTTGTGTCTCATTCCCCACGCCCTCATTTGTGTCTCATTCCCCACGCCCTCATTGGTGTCTCATTCCCCACGCCCTCATTCGTGTCTCATTCCCCACGCCCTCATTCGTGTCTCATTCCCCACGCCCTCATTCGTGTCTCATTCCCCACGCCCTCATTCGTGTCTCATTCCCCACGCCCTCATTCGTGTCTCATTCCCCACGCCC